GATTGCTTTAAGCTTGATGCTTTGCACGCTCTCATGGCTCAATGCCATCTAGTCATGGTGTATGAATGTGGTATTTGTAAGGACGCCTTGTGCGTCTGCGTATAAAGTAGATGTACAAAGCGATAAACACTAGKCCAATGGCAGTGTAAACCACTAAGCACAAGCTTGTRTCATATCTATTAAGACCAAGAGTAAGTGCTGTCGCCAGTATATTGGCTTCAGCTCCCATCCTTACTTGATCGGCGTCTTCCAGCTCAGCAGGTAGATTCGCAGGAGGCTTAACTCTAATATTGTCTACGCCATAGTGATCTTTAAGGAACTGCAACACCACGTCTGGCTTCCACTCGCCATTATCTTCCYTACAGTCCTTGCACATGTCCTTGGACGGGAACTGTATTTTTGGATGTTTAGGATCCTCGCTGTCATCCCCATGGAGCCGCTTGTTGGCACTATTGTGCGCCTTCCATAACCACAAGATRGCGTCATCRTGGGTTTTGACCTCACGATCAATATTAGCAGCCATTTTTGTGAAGTGTTCTACACACTTAGTACAGCCAAAGAAGTGTTTGATATAGTCCCGTATCTTCTTCAGTGTGGTTAGACCATCGTCGCTCTCGTCCATCAACTTTCTTTTAGCTCCACAGTTGACTGTTAAAGTGTGAAATAGGGTCCATAGAGAACATGGGTAGCCACGGAAACGGGGCTTACTWCCTTGACAAGCATGCCATTTCCTACGCTTTGTAAGAAATCCTTCTTTTGGTTTCTGTGAAGAAAGGTGGATTACATTAAATCTTTAGAATAAATAGAATAATATGTACAATGTAATCTTCAAGGGGAATATGAGAAAAAATAAAGCAAACATGATACTACTTAGATTGTTGTTTCCCATCTCCCTGACAGGCGGGAATTTGACCTTAGACTCTACTCTTTTCCTTAGTGAATGTATGCTCTAAAGGTAACCCAGAATTCAAAACTAGGATGTCAAGATTAAATGGTGCACAAAAGCACTAGAACTAACATAAATGCAATATTCTTCTGTTAGCTTAAATAACAAAAAAAATGCTTCACTTATAACATTTTGTATCCTGAAGATGATGTTTTAGCCACTAAAACAAGCTTCCTAAGACTAAATCCTTTTCCGTCTAAGTACATATTATTAAGTTAAAAAAATACTTTTCCGTCTAAGTCGAACTGTTAGCTAGGCACTTTGCTGTCGAAATCCACCAAAAACCAGACTCTTTCCGTCTAAGTCAAAGAGTAAACTTTACTGTCTACGTGAATCGGCCAGCCTGACAATAATGATGGCAAAATGATAGTTAAAGTTACCAGACTGGAGCAAGCCATACCTTGTTGATTTTATCAGCCATTCGAAGAAACGAACCACTTGTGATTCTAGGTARCAGCACTCTTTTTGAAAGATCAATATGAAGCTTGCCAAAGAACTTCTTAAGAGGATTTCTACCTTTTCCTGGAAAACACTTAAAAAAAATTTGAAAGCTTTAAAATGCATTTCTCTTTGACTTATTAGTATTAAGTGTGTGATGGAGATGAGAACAGAAGCTCATTTTCATCAAATTCTYGATAGAATTTACTGATAATTTTCTTGTTAAAAGGTTTCACTGTTGACAGTTTAATATAATGTCACATTATTGTACATAATTATGTAGACTTGCCATAAAGTCCAACACTCTTTGGACTCACAAAATATTAAAGGAAATTTAAAAGTAAAGTATGTGACRTGTATTTTTTGACAATCTTTCTCCTGTTGATAGAATCTCTCTWATTGGAGTGCCAAACAAGTAATGGGTTACACGTCGGGAAGTACATTTTATTGTACAATGTAAAACGGAACATAACAGCTGAGTGTCTTCGCCAGCAGGGAAAAGAATTGCAGGGTTTTCAGTAAAAATTGAAGTAGATGTCAAAATAGAACAAGACAGTATTTGTCTGTTTTCTGCAACCCGTTACCAAACAACAACCAAATAATTCACATCCAAGTAAATTCATAAGTAGCAGGTGATTAATACTACTARGTAAGCTATAACTGGCAATTTTTGCTGGCTGCCGGCTTCTACTGAGAACCTTAAATCTGCACTTTTAGTTCTCATTTATAACTTCCCCCTAAATTGAATTAAAGCAAGACACAAGCAAGTTKGATTCAATTTTTTCACACCTATCACTATTCACTTACATCACCTATCAGCCCCAGGAACTTTTTCAAGGCTGTAAAGGAATGACTTGATATTTCTTTKCGGTTTGGCACTTCRTTCCATATCATATGTGACAATCCACTGACCATATCTGCCATGTAAACTTCTGACCTATAGCATAATATCATTTTTAATAACAGCATTGTAATAAGTTGTTCCTTGCAACCGACAAGCCCATATAGCAGGCGTGTCGGAATTATGCGCGAAAAAAATCAAAATTATGCGGGAATTTTTTTCCCATATTATGCGGAGAAAAGGGTGAATTATGCGGAAAATTATGTGGGATGACATCATAACAGGAACGTAAACTTTGGGAAATTTTACATATATTTAGGTTATTGTGTTTGTTTTTCATGCAAAACTCCGTTTTTATCTTAGTTACGAAGTACAGAAGGCAGTACCAACAGAAGGAAAGATCTTTTTAGACTTTTTCGTTCTCGCACGCTTTACATCTCACTTGTACCATACAAGTCATCATGCAAGTCATCTTAAAGAATGGTATAACATGGGGAAAAAAACACGAATTATGCGGGATTATGCGCGATTTGGTAAATTATGCGGAAAGGGGGCAATTATGCACGTCCGCATCCGCGCATAATTCCGGCATGCCTGATATAGGGACAAGCAGTCAAGCATCAGAGGGTTACTCTCTGACATCATGTAAGGCTTGAAGTTAGAAATGCTTGCGGACTAGTCTAGGACTACGGTCAAAAGACATGAAGCACGCCCCCGAATAGTTCGTTATTCAATGCATTATTGGATTTTTCATTTTATTTTTCGTTTTCAAACTTCAGTTGATTAATGCAAAATTAAATTTAAATCTCAAACCCTGATAATGACAGAAAACAACACAGCATTTCCAGCTTTTTGAGACCGTCATTCCCTTCTCACGAGAAGGAACAGATCCAACCAAATTGTAACAGACGGCATATTGCAATGCATTGACTTGTGGAAATTACAAAAGACCAGCAAGTTTACAAGTGAAATACGAAGAAGGCTTTATGAAAATCCGATCAATAATCCAATCAAATTTCGAAGTTTGAATTCAAATTTGATTTCAGTAAAATGTAATGTTGAATCGACCAAGAATCGAATAATGAATTGAATAATGGTGTTTTGAGGGGACGCGCTTCATGTCATTTGACTGTAAGTGCTATCCAAAAATAATGATTTAAAATATTTTGCTTACATGTTCCCAGCAGCATGAGTGCCATGTGCCTGTGCATGTTCATGGACTAAGTTTTCAAAATGTTCCATGGCCTTTTCTACAGCTTCAATATGAGGGAAAGGTTTTTCTTCAAACTGACGTTCATATGCAATGTCAAGGACTGTCCTCTTAAAGTCCGCATGGGTTCGCTTCATCCTTTAAAAAGATAATAAATTTGTTAATGCAGCTAATGCAATCAAACCTTAGGCATGCACACATGATGATTTGCAGTCTAGCACAGGCCCCCCCTTAGTAGCAGGGTTTGCATCCATCTTTGTGTGATTGTTGTGAATACTAAGACACTGTGAGCGATTATTGTTAGATTTCAATCCCACCTTCCTCTATTGGTCATTAGGGATAGATTAGTGTACATCCTTTGTCAGAGTAAAGACAAGCTCTTAACTCTGACAAAGAATTAACGTCCAAAGCGTCAGTGTGAATAAGGTGTTAAATTTATCTTTTTACACATGTCAACTGTTTCTTTAGAAACACTGACACAGCTCACACTAGTTTATCGCTTGTTCTCACCATTAGTGTACTTGTTGTATAATATAATATATGGCTAATAGACCTTGAACTGAAATACAATATCATGGTGCATTGTGGTCTAGCTTCAGTACAAACAATGCCATATTTGGCAGCATGAACAAAAGATGTTTATACCGAATCCAGTCCACAATGCAAACTGCTATCTCAGAAAATGCCTATGCTTGCCTCTCCTTCACAGGGTACTACTGTTTTGTGTCAAGATTGATTTTGTTTCACTGTCATTGTCACTGGCACACCTCTTACAGCACAAAACAGCTTGTAACAAGGATGGCGTCATTGTATGTTGTTTACTAACCTTGACAGTTCTGTAGGTCTAAAACCTCTTTCTATTTTAATTAGGACTGGAAATCTGTTCCTTGCTATATTATACTTGGCCATTAATGGAGACTGAAGACAAGAAATTATGTTTAGTAAACTTTGATATCTTAAAGCTGAATCTTGCTATAATCCTGAAGAGAAAAATGCAAAAAATATGCTAAACTGAAATAATCAAACACTGAGTGAACAATCAGTCTGAAAAGATACAATATCCCAGCATAACATAATAAATTAAAATTGAACATAATTTGTACAACTTTGTCTTTTCTGCTTCCCTTATTGCACATTTTTCTACCTAATGTTTCCTCAGATACAAAGTTAAACCAAAATGTGCAAATCACTGATCAATCAAAATCAAAAATACCTTTTTGTCAGTTGATCTTCTGACAGCAATTTGTGGAAATCTCATCATGTCTAGTGCAAGCTATGATTATTAATAATAAATTATCATTAATATTATACCAAGTAGCCAACTTTTCAATAATTTGAAGATAATGCATGTGACTATAGCCTCCTCTCCGCAGGCAACTCTATAAAAACTCCTTTTCTTTTAATTTACGAGTGGTTGGGCTTCCTTCCTGTTTTGTATATTTGTTCCAAGACTTCTACAGAGAGAGAGAGTATGAGAGAGATGCCTGCGCAGGAGGCTAGCATGTGACATACCTCTTTGCCAACGTATGAGTAAGGTTCTTCAAAGACGATGAGCAATATTTCATGCAGTCCGATTCCTTTCATGAAGTCTTGCGTGCTTTTCTCTCTGTTGAATGAAAAATTAATGACAGATATTATCATCCAATATGTATGATCCAGAAACCTATAACAGACTTGAAACGTGTAACGCCAGTGCCAACCATTGGAATATTCAATTAATCTAATTTATATCTCATTTCCTTATTTTACCTTATTTAGAGTAATTAAATTTACCCTATAGCAACCGGAACGGTCCTTAAATCTCTTATCCAAGGCCAAATTTTCCAAATTTGATCATAACGTTCGTTTTTGAATTTTTAATGAGCTTTGAATATTCTGACGCTTATTTTAATAAAGAAATGTACGGACATTACACGTTTCAAGTCCCTTATAAGTTTCTGCCTGATCTTAATTAACTTTATAAGTGGTAGACTGGTACTGAAAAAATTCAAATATTCAGAACTCACTCGATTGATTTAAAGTCTGGAACATGATTTGACAAGTGGGTTTGTTGCTCTGCGACATCCACCATTGTATGTAATAGATTGATGAATGTTTTATCTTCTTTTGTATAGACTACCAAATAATAATAACATATTTAATATTTATTTTAAAATTAATTAATAATTCATAATAGGTTAACACAATCATGGAAAATCACTGCCTTGAMCCAAATAAAATGAGCAAGAGATTTGTCCTGATTTGCACACAACTCAAATTTTGATTTTCGCTTCAAAAACTCATACATAATTAATGAGTTACTAGGCCAATAGAATGAGCCTATTTGGTCCCATGCATGGACCTTTAYATCTGATAAAACACTCCTTATTAGTATTCTTTATATAAAGAAACACTATTATTAAAATGTGGTTGGACTCATAATTGTTTTGGAAAAGATGCTGCAATTTACCTTTAAAATTTCTTCCTTTATTGCTCTTTTCTTCCATTGAAGCATTAAAAAACTAGGAAAGAGAATAACAATCTAATTCAAATTCTTCATGATAGAGTGGTTTTCATCGAACTGTGAAACAATGACTATTAGTCAGTGTTCAATAGTGTCTAATAGTTGTATTCCAATATAAGAAAACAATGGGTGTAGAGTCTACTAGCGTCTATTAGCGTAGGAACTATTTCACAGTCCGATGAAAATCACTCTAAGCCTCTTTGGCCATTTTAGACTGTTTGTGATAATTTTTATCAGAACATTATCATTGATCATTTTTAAATTGGATTCAAGAATTAAGTTTTTTCAAGGTTTAGAGTGCTTGCAACTATGTCCATGAAATAAAATCTAAAAAAGAAAAAAATAGAAATAAAATCTAAATAGTTAGAGTGATTTTCACTAACCTGTGAAACACAAGTAAGCGTATTTATCACTATTACACTTTGGCTCTTTTGTTGTTGTTTTTTTTGTCTCTACGCTACTATTACGATCTAATTATTACACTTTGTTGCATGGGGTTATGAAAACCACTCTACTACCTAATAGTTCTTATTAAAGAATATTAGTTGTTATCACTCAACTGGATCAGTTATATCAATGAGGTATTGTTTCCTTTGTATTCAATTCCCAATTGTACAGAGAATGTGTTGTTATACTAAGACTGTTCCAGTTGAATGATAGTCACTAAAATAAAAACTATTTGTCAGTAATTATTAGATTTTTATTTCATTGTCACAGTGTAAGCACTCTAATGCCAAGAAATTATTTATTGTATAGAGCAAATGCAGGAAAACCATGAAATAAAATCAAAACTAAATACTAACAAATAGGAGGCTATTTACAGTGTAGAGACAAACTTTCAGTATCAGTGAACCAGAACACAATAAAGATTCATTAAAAATGGTCCCATGTGGATTCATCTTCATTATGTTCTGGTTCATTGATAAAGAAACGTGATTTACAGCATTTTGCCACAAGCATATTGTGATTTTTTTTATTTTACACCATTGATCGAACTTTTTTATTTTGAATTCAAATTAAAGAAAACGCGATAAAATTTTACCGAGGAAAGTATGCCTCGCTTGCCTGGTCACAGATACGGCGCTGCACTTTTTGTTAGTATTTAAATTTATTTTATTTCATGGTTTCACTGAGGAAGAAGTGATTCCGTATTTCATGGTTTTCCTGCGTTTGCTCTTGTATAATTGTTTTATATTGCACAACTTGTTATTCTTTTAGGAAGTTCTTAATTACTGTCCATAATAATCTAGTATTTTGACTTTGATCCTATTTTGACAGATTACAACTTTAAAACTCATTATCCCTCCTGCTGACTGCCTGTTATTACCTTAATAGTAGGATACTCAGCTATATCATAATCTCTGCATGTTTGCATATTTCTCTCATCTGCACAGTCGATTGCTGCCACATGGATGACATTTTGCCAATCTTAAATAAAGACAAATAAATATTATACAAACATTTACAAAGGAGAACAAAGCAGATAAGAGAACAAGAGCTAGTTAACGGACACTGTCACATCAAAATGCCACCTTGACCAGCCAACTTGTGTGAACAGATATTTTTTGAATTGAAAAGATTGCTGTTTCTGGACAAACTTGAGCTTAATAGACATAGCATTTATCAGCTCATCTGCTATCATTTGTTTCCCAGCAAACATATTGTAATTAAAGATATTAGCTAGGGGATCTATACTGATAGATTTTCATTGTTTTAGCAGCCCCTGGTTGCTATGCTGAACAAGGTAATAGACTAATGACAAAATATTAGCCTTAGGAGATGAATAAAATTCTTAAATATTTTTTATTCCTTTTTGTGAAGTGTTAATATTGTGTAAGAAACATTTGGGAAAAAATATCAAAATTCCAATAAATTTTCATTCATTCATTTTATTTGATCACTTGTATTAACAAAGGATTTTTAAAAAGAGCAATCTGGTGTATTGAATTGTCTTTTTCAATAAACTTTAAAATGAGAATTTTATTAAAAAACCCTATATGTTCTAAGTAGTAGATTTTTTTAAAAAAAGTTCCTTCCGGCACATCCTTATAATAATATACATGTATAGCTCAAAATCAAAAATATGTCTTTTAACATAAAAATTATCATACAAAAAGCTCGATTTTGTCTATTATTGATTTTTAGGAGTAAATAAGTGCTTTAGAACTCGAATGACAGCGCGTGGGATTTCGCACGATCGATTGAATTACAAAAATAACATCACTCAGGTCCGACCATACATTTCCATCGCAAACAAAAGTTCCTTGGTTACACATTTTTAAATCTRTCGGGAAGTACTGTAATAAAATGACGAAAAAGAGGAAAATRCAAAAGACCGAATGATTGCAGTATTCAGTTTTAGATCCGGCGATTTCATAATACCAAAATTACGCTTACTTTGTTTAGAGAGAAAGAATCAAAACAACATTCCGCTCGATATAGAAGCGACGGAAGCTGAGAAGTGATCCGTTTCTCTTCGCAAAAACTTTTCTCCGTAGAAAATATCAGTAATCAAAGACCAATGTTTAAAAGTATTAATCTGTTTAATAAGCAAGTAAATCAACGACTTTAATTCAATAAAAGAGAGTGTTCATAAATTAATCAACAACTACCCGTCACAAGGAAACCTTGGAAATCGTGTCGTCACAAAAGAGACTTTTAGCGCTTTATTTCCGAATCCTTACCAAATTTTCAAAGCAAAGTAATTATTTCAAAACAAAGCCATTATAGATAAAGCCTTGAAAGGAAGGATTTCAGTGAAATAAAGTATCCACTCACCTCTGGCCACTTTGGCTAGTTTTTTCCATGTCGGAGCGAAGGCCTGACAATGGCCGCACCAACTTGAGTAAAACTCAACTATCCAAGCTGATGGGCTATTATAAATAACTGAATCTATTGTACTGTTATCTAAAAGGACTATGTCATCGTGTAATGAATATAAGCCACCTTGACATGGCGAAAAAATAAAGAAAAATACTAGAAAAAGAAACGATAAGTACAGAGGGCTGACTCCGGCCGCCATTGCTTTATGATGTTTTGTGGTAAACCGCTGATGGAGTGTATACGACGGGCTCGTCATCAACAGGTGGTTGAAGCTCGTCAGAGTTTAAAAAAGATCAAAGGTGCTAAAATAATTACYATGCACTTAAAATGCTTGAGTAATGTTTATGAGAACACATTTAGGACACAACATAAGTTACGCAAAAATGATATTTTACATAAGTCAAGATTTCAGATGCTCCGGCGCCAGCCGATATCCCTTCGCATCTCCCATCTACTATATCATTCTCTCTTTCTTTCATAAAACTAAATATTTAACATTAACTGACAAAACAATTATCGTCACCACTTAGTTCTAATACATTGGTAAGATTAAATAATTTTGGAATGTCAATCCAATTTGAGTCAAATTGAAGATTTTACCTGCTGGGAACGCAGGTCTTCCGATGTGCGATATTCTCTGGATCAAAGCACACGGCATTGATCAAAACCAGCTTTAACTGGTGTATAGTCCTAGATGCAACGTTTTTGATACATTGTTTGATTTTTAGTGTGAACAATGAATTAACAGCGTTTTCCAATGAGTTTATTAAGTTAGAAAATAGGAATACTACACGTCCGATGACCGAAAATGAGCAACAGAAACTGGGAATTCAGCACACTGTCAGTAGAACCCGTTCCTAAAATAATATCAACTTAGTATCAATTCAATTTTTACCATTCGCATAAACCTAATTATAAAATTGTACTTTGTCGGGTTGAAAAAGGCGCTGTCATCTATGCTAGGACCGAAAAACCTTCAGAAATCACACATTTTAATTATATTCCTTTCTTACAAACGGCCAATCCAACTTCACGTTGGTCAGTTGTAAAGACATAAAGATAGCAAAAAAAATCAAAAGTCCCGGGACATTTTTCTAATTTAAAACTCCAGATAAATATAACAAATCTAAATTTTATTGACATTCAAATGACGTTTTGCAACTTAAAGTTAAATATTGTTGCAAAAAATATATGATATATTCAAATGATTTTGTTTTTGTCTTTTAATATGTCTTTATACAACCGAACAACGTTAATGGATTGACTGTGCGAGTCCATGATAATTCAGAGCATGCAGTGTTAGAACTGAAACAGTGATATAGTTATGATATTATACGAAATATTTGCTTTACGAAGCTCCCTTTCTGTCTTAGATTCGATGATGTAACCTGCTTGACCCYGACAAAGATCTGCGATGCGGAAAAACTGTTTGAGTATTCCTTGAATACATGAACTTCTTATTATTATACATTACAGAGCCGTTTTTTAATTTCAATGTACAGAATTCCTAAAACTATATTGATTAATATATATGATATCATTTTGACGTATATTAAGTATTTACAAGAAAGATAATAATTTATAAAATAAAATAAAATCATCAATGGTTACATGTATCTTTACCCTCGCTGGAAAACATAGCGCGCTTTGAATTCTGTAATTTTCTTGTAAATTTTGATTTACAGACATTTATATGAAAAGTAGAGGGTTTTTAAAACGCGCTATGTCTAACTGAAGGGCCATAGCCCCTTTGAAAAGCCGGACTATGGGACTAGCTGCTTTGATAGTCAATATGCAGCAACGCCATTTTAATCAGCAAGGCATGATGGGGGTTGTAGTCCAATCACTTTAACGTTGGCTAAGCTTAGGTTCTTTTGCTTTTTCTTTACAAAAATAGAAGTAGTTTTGCCGTTTTTACAAAGAAGAAAATATTATAACGGCTTTTAGGGAGACTTTAAGTAGATATGTAATGTGCGCTGAATAAAATCTCCCATAATGCTTTGTTGTTCAAAATGGCGTCGCTGCACATTGCCTATTATCACTACCTAAAAATCATATTACTTTAACTAATAGTTGTTGTGTCTGCGGACGTCAAAAGTGGACCATTCTCTTTAATGTTAGTTTACCATCATCTTTCTCTTGTAAATTGAGCTTGTAGATCCCAACATGGAAGCTTGACACACAGAGACTGAAAAGAGMATCAAAARCAATCYTTTAAACGCCGAATTTCGGGGAATTTCTTGTSAATTGAATTTATAAGCTCCTTCACAGCCAACAATTAAGAGGAAGGACTGCTCTCCTTTCTTCTAAGGTTATTATTTTGATACGCTAGTTTTAATCCTTCAGTCAAAAAATAGCTACAAGTAGTTACAAGCAAAATATTCAATTTGATTTTGTGAAATGGCATACAATTGCCGTGAAACACATTGAAGCAYATGCCGTGATATAACGAAAACTCCGATATTACGGACAAATAAAAAGCAAATTAGCCATAAGGTCTATTCGGATTATTATTTTCCGATAATAATTTTATATTGAAGGAATTCTGCTATGCAATATTATGGTGATTATACAGCCTTTGTACCAAACTTTAAACAGTTTAATCGAAAACCTTTGTCAAAAGCAATTATATTATCTTAATACAGTTTATATTTGCTCAACCAACATTCAATGTCTTGTACGAAAAACGATAGATAAACATCCATTAATGCAATAGCTGTTGTTATGAGAATCGCTGGAAACCTGTTCAAACTCAGTTTAACGCAAGTTTAAACTTACTAAGTACTCATTAGGTCCTAAGGTAAATTACAAAACGACTATTACATAATTATTAGTAGAAAAACGCTTGTAAAGATATAAGTACATGTATCAAGTCCTTTTAGTAACCCTGGCGGGGGACTCCGTGGAAAAGTACCGGGGATCCTCGTCGGATCTCTTAAGGAAAAAAATTCGTGATTGGGAATCTTTTCGGTGTCAATTTGGAGTTTCTGGAAATCTGCATTTTCTGCAATCTCTTAGGGTGTCGGAAATGAAGAGAAAGAACACATCGATATAGATTTTCCTCTCCGTTTTCATCATTGGAACTGAGTGCTACGGATTGCTACCCCATATATGGTTTTTTATGTTTTTCTTTTGACGTCCGTTAACAATATTTATTGTTCAATCTCTTATGGGTTAAAAATCAGGCAGATCTTTTAGGGGTCTTTTTGAAAATTTCTGACGAGCATTCCCGGTACTTTTACACCGAAGTTTATTAATAAGCGAACAATTGCTTTGAATACTTTAGCGCTTTAGCACATTCGAAGTAAATTATGGGACGCATCATCACCTCAGTTAAAAACCCATTAACAACGATTACACAGCTTTGCTCCAGCATATCTGTTCACTTTTAATCATCGAGCAAATCTTTAGCACTCCGCCAGCTGACCTAACAGTCTACTCACAACGGTACCAATAAACAAGATACAAAGTTTTGGAAAGTATACTCGGTAGTGCTTCGGATGCGTGTTCGATAATTGACACGGTTCAGTCAGAGAGTGCCCGACTCTCGCTATTACATCGACGACCAAACGAGACCCCAGGGGAAGGAGGTGCTCCCTTGGGAGAAACGATCCTCCTCAGAAATTCTCAAAATTACCGGCTTAAAATGGACTTGCATATAGGCTCATTTCACGCAAAAAGTGACCAATCAATACTGAACTTGTCATTTTTGTCCCGGTTCATCCGTTTTATACAGTAGTACCAATAAAAACCGATACCGGCTTCTACAACCCGGATAACAATTCAATCATTTAACAAGTACTAAGTATGCAATTAAAGAGAGGTAAATAATTTTATGACTTGTATCGCGAAACTCCTGAAGGAATTTGAAATTTTTCAAGTGCCCCCTAGAAGATCTCATGGCTAACTTGCATTGATACGAAAGCTTTTATGGCGGCTATCGTCAATTACTGCAAGTTTGTTCGTCTTTGGTATGACCATAGTCTGCCTAGCGCCACTAATGGGGATGGAAAGTGCCGAACGGAAAATCCTTCCTTTCCTCCTCCCCATTCTCCGCTCGGAAGTACCCATATCTGTAAATCTCTTCAAACATCATCAAAGAGCAGACCGAATGGGAGCATGAGAAGAAAAATAACTTGCCTAATATGGGCATTTCATTTCCCGCGCAAGGTACAGACACAATGTATAAGACACTACAGCACTTACCCTCCATTGGGCCAGGCCGTTAAACTTGTTAGTGGACCAGAACCGGGAAATTCCTCAACTAGAATACATTCTGTTGAAAAAAATATATCATTTCAAGGGCTATGGTCAACCATCAATCAATGCAGTCATGACTTCAAATATTCATTTGCAATCCGTTTCCATACATTTAAAGATATCTCCTTTCAAAGGGCACAAAGGGATAATAAAGAGTGGATTTGTGCTTATAAAAAAAATCAAAAATATCGTGTTTTTGTGCTCGCAACCGCATTATAATTTGTCAAGGGACAATTGTCTAAAAAGATAAATTTATCACCATAAAAAAGTAGGTGAAATAACTTACTGACGTTTCGGACGTTAATCCTTCGGAGTAAAAAGGGAAGACGAAGGATTAACGTCCGAAACGTCAGTAAGTTATTTCACCTACTTTTTTATGGTGATAAATTTATCTTTTTACACAACTGTTTCTTAAGAACAACGATACAACTCATACTAGTTGAACGATAGTTTCCACCATTTTTTCATGCGCACGCACATCTCGGGAATTTTCTATTACCTTTAGTTTCTCTTTTCCATATTCTAAGCGTTGAGTCATGTGATGCTGTAGCGATCCTGAAAAACAAAATATCAAAAAAGACGTTAAGTACATTTTCAATTCGACCCCTACCCTCCCCTCCCACTCAACATAAATCAAACACAAATCTACTTACAACGGGTGTGGAGCTATGCCTTCAGTAAATGGCAGGAAAATACATGCTGATGCCGTCTGAGTGTGTCCAACATACTGATAAACTTGCTTCTTCTGCCTCAAATCCCACAGCTAAACAAAGTTTGTCTGTTTATTTTTATTGTAAATCTTATATATTTTACTAAAGATGTTTATTGTTTGTGTTATATAGAGGATATTACATGGGTGTGCATACATTTTACTTCACTAGATCTTGTAGCTAATATCTTAAATTGGCATATGGTACTGCAGGGCAAAAACTAATGGTCGATGAATGGGAGTTTGACCATCTAGTGGCAATGATGTAAGTAGCATGTAATTGAGAAAATTCAGAAAGGGTACGTTTACACTGAATGCTACAGTTTGCCATCTTTGAGGAACTTCAAAAAGGATTTCTCATTTTAAATTTAGTATATATTGTTCATTCATCCAACATGGATCCTGGCTTTTAATCTTTTGAATCTAAAAATGACCAACTTAGGCAAAACATTCTTGTGAAGATATCCAGGTTATTTTATCATTCTTCCAATATATTAATTAAGTTAAAATATTACTTACAGTTGCTTCACAACCACTTCTGTTAAAACCATTGTTACAAGTCAAAATGTATTTACCATCATCAGAACAGTCACAACATGTCTAAATAAACAACAAAGCAAGGAACTAATGTTAGGGGGTTGTATAGGCATATAGTATATACCATAATACTACACAGAAGAACATTAGTTGCAACATATCTAAACAAATAACAAAACAAGCATCTACAGCTGTAATGTGAGGAGGTTGCATGCGCGTGTAACTGATGGGCGGGTCTACTGCATATACACTGTACCATCATAATAATACTTCACAGAAGAAGATTGATATACTCATGTATATCCTTGTCAATAGAGTGGTTTTCCGTCAACCATGAAAACACAATAAGTCTAATAGTTAGTAGTAGTTTGTAATAGACCAATACTAATAGTCTAGCTTGTATCCGATTGATATAGGTAACATATTCATCACAAAAACAAGTTGTTTTTTATTTTAATGGTCGTTTTTGTTATGGTAACTACTGTTAGTAACTAAACTAAACGTTTAATTTATTCAAACTGTTGTTTGTTAGCTATTCGTCTATAGTTTATATGTCTAAAAGTTATATTGACTAGTCTATTACTCATTACTACTAACTAGTTGGTCTATTTCTTTTCATGGTTGATGGAAAACCACTCTATAATGCTGTCAATAGTTCCTAGAGCCCTTCCATTGTCAAAACCTAAGTGAGCAAAAGTCAGGTACATGTTCCATGAAAAAGGCTACACCTGAGGAGGCCCAGTGAATTAAGATTTTAAGAAAGAAAAAAAGGAGAAAGTGTGAAAAGCATTTCTGATGGAGTTGTAGTATGCGGTGCTACACAGTATCCTTGAACTCCTTTCTTTTGATAGAGCCCACTCCCATCTAATAAATGAGACTTATTTCSGAATTGTTTACCTGGAAATATTGTTTTGGAGGGAAGGTAAATGCTGGTGTCAGTGTCCGTGTGTCCCAGACCCTGAAGAAACACAAGTGTCAGTAGAATGTATTCTTCTGAGTCAATTCACCTGTGACTGCAACATACTTGACCATTTTGTCTTCTCCAGTTTGTACAACTTCGTGTGATTGTGGTATCCACTTAACACAGGAAACCT